AGCAAGACCCAGACGGCTGCCCCCGCTGGAGACTGGAGCCCCGCAAAGGGGATAGAAGCGGGAAAGGACGAAGGGACACCTGCCTGCCCAGGGCTCACAGAGCAGCGTCTCTTTTCATTTTGAAGCAGCTCATTAGCTATCATTCTATTCACTTTAGAGACGAGAAACCAAGGCCCAGCAGGGGGGTGTCTTGCCTAGGAGGCTTCTTACAGCTACAGCTATAAGCAGATCTCAGCCAGCTGCAAAGGAGGCTTTGATCCCCCGCTGTTCCAAAAGACTGGGGTCCTGAGCCAGTCATTTCTGCTCCTGGGCTTGGTTTCCCTATTCAAAATATGGAGGCTTTCTCTAAGGGAGTGCTGAGCTCTGGGGCATCCAGAGAGCAGATTCTTAGCCCTAATATTAAGGAGAGCTGCTCTTCAATAACTGGATCCATCTCTCAGGTGGGAAAGAAGTGTTGGTAAAGGGCGGAGGGGGTCAGCACCAAGGAGAAAGGATAGGCAAATTTGGCCAGGGCAGATCAGCAGCTCATCTGCCCCCAATTCACTTGCAGGCCTCCTTCTCCTGGCCTCCCTTGTCCTCCTGGAGCATCTTGGTTCTGCCAGGAACCTCCCCAGGAGCACCCCAGTCCCAGCAGTGTCCCAGGAGTGCCACAACCTCTCCCAAACCCTGCTGAGCACTGTGGATAGTGCCCTACAGAACGTAAGTGCCAGTGTCCCTTGAGCTCTGCTGAAGGGAAGGGACCTGCTGGGACAATGCAGCACCTGGGGAACTGCATGCAGGGTAGCTGTCAGGAGGGGAGAGGGACTTCACAAATGACCTGTCAGTTTAAGGGACTCAGAGAAAGCAGAGTAGTGGTAAATGATGGAGGTTGGTTTGGCTCTGCCCGGTAGCAGGGCAATGTGTGCAGTGTCCCAGCAGCAAGCCAGCATAGGGGGACCTGCGCCAGGAATAAGACCTTGCAGGTGAGGTCAATCCACGGAGCAGTTGGGTGGGTCTCTGGGGGGCCACATGATGAACTAGATTGCCGTGTCCAGTGTGGTGACGTGCATTGTGTGGGAGTCACATACCTCAAGGAGGATGGTGATCATTTGTGTCCAGCTTTTGTTTCAGAGGGAAGCATTGTCTGAGTTTGTTTATAGCTTTCATTTTGGGGATTCTTGTATTTTAATGCAAAAAAAAAATTCTTTTTTTTTTTTAAAGCTGCTTCAATGAGCTCTTGCTTTTGCTGCAAAGCCATAGCAGAAATCCATGTTTCCAAAGCTACTCAGGGCTGGGGTTTAGCTCAGTTATAGAAGTGAGTTAGAACCCCTGCAGGGTCAAAAAAATATCCTATTGTTATCCTGCTCACTAGAAGAAATTTCTAGCTTGTTGCCTTATGAATAACTTAGAAAAAGCTCAATGCCACAGGGCCTTGAAGAAGTCCTTTTTCTTCTTCCATGATGCACTGCAGATTGCTTCTTGTACTTCAGTTGTAATTAAAAAGGGGTACCCCAAGTGAAGCCTGCAGAGGTACAGCTTCTTTTCTGAAGAAACTTTCAATACAGACAGGATGTGAGAGCTGAGATATAGAATGGATGCTTTGTGTGAGGAAGCAAATACTTCCACTCCCAGCCACAGCGCTGAAGTCGCGGCATCACAAAATTTATTTGGAAGCTTTTGTGCCTTGCCTTGTCAGATTTGCCAGAATAAACCAACCAGCCATTGCAGAACATGGAGGTGGCAGTTGCATGGCATTCACAGCCTGTTCTGAATTTGTAGAGTCGGGCCCATGTTGTTTTCGTTTTATTTTGACTTTTGAGTTTGATGCCATTGAAAAATTGGACTTCTCCTAGAAGAATCTAAACTTCCAGCTTCCCATGGAAAGGTCTAAAGGACACAACTCCAGGCCCCT